GACACATTTGTTTTCAAGGAGTAATTTGGATTAACTATCCATCTACTCAAGCTCACTTGGGCTGGCTACACAGGCTGCTTGACATTATCTGGCTGTCCTGCTCTCCCTCCTCGCTCTAAACTGTTCTATTCAACCAGACCCTCAGAGCTCTGGACACCCAACCAGATGACCTAGAACTTTCTGCCATCAAGAGAAAAAGGAGAGAGGCAGAGAACCGCTGCAAAGCAAACAAATGGCTTTGGCTCGTGCTAAGAGACAGAGACAGGAAAATCAATGATGGCAGCCACCCAGACAGTAGAATAAAGGAGGCCTTACAGCAGTGCGCCGCCTGCAAGAACTACAAATTAATAAGTAAATGTTGTTTGGATAAATATTACCCCTGCAGTGGTTGTGGTGCAGTCGACAGACATGGGGTTGACAGACATGGGAAAAATAAGTGGGCGGGTGTGTACGCTTGTGTGTATTGGGGATGACATACAGAGTTCCTTTCATTTTGGTTCCTACCAGAGTTTGTATTTGTATCCCCATAGATAATTGTGTATAGGAGACACTAGTTTCCCTGTAGAAAAACAAGGTCAAAGAGAGAATAGACATTTATCATTATGGCCTCTCTCCTAGACTAGTCAATGGATGGGAGCTGTATTTCATGTATATAGGCTTATCTTGTCGGGTCTAACAAAGAGTTAAGACAATGCACCTACCTTTCAAGACTAAAGCATCACATTTGTCTTTACCATTTCTAGGATAGGGTCAATGGAGACATGAACTGGGTACCAGAATGGAATGCACACAACACAGGGATACCATTATATATAAATATATATACAGTAGCAGTCAAAAGTTTGGACACACCTACTCATTCAAGGGTTTTTCTTTATTTTTACTATTTTCTACATTGTAGAATAATAGTGAAGACATCAAAACTATGAAATCATTTTTTTTTTTTTTTTTGTCATTTAGCAGACGCTCTTATCCAGAGCGACTTACAGTTAGTGAATACATATTTTTTTATACTGGCCCCCCATGGGAATCGAACCCACAACCCTGGCGTTGCAAACGCCATGCTCTATCAACTGAGCTACATCCCTGCCGGCCATTCCCTCCCCTACCCTGGACGACGCTGGGCCAATTGTGCGCCGCCCATGAGTCTCCCGGTCGCGGCCGGCTGCGACAGAGCCTGGATTCGAACCAGGATCTCTAGTGGCACAGATAGCACTGCGATGCAGTGCCTTAGACCACTGCGCCACTCAGGAGTAAAGTGTTAAACAAATCAAAATATATTTTAGGTTTTAGATTCTTCTAAGTAGCCACCCTTTGCCTTGATGATAGCTTTGCACACTCTTGGCATTCTCTCAACCTTAATTTACTCGTTGTGACGCACTCAAGTTCCAAACTCCATTCAAGACGAGACTGACTTTATGACCAAAATTATCCTATTTACACTTTGTCAATTTTCACACTAGAATAAATGTTTCTGACTAATATTGATGCCACATAAGCTGTTTTCAAAGGAATTAGTTGGTTTTTAGGGGCAGTCATTATTTAAGATAACAGGTGGATGTGCTGGTCACACTCACACCTGCAATCATTTAACACAAACACAACCTGAATTCTTTGTGAAATAAACAAAACATTGAGACATGTCATTGCATTATGGTTAAAAGTTGGGTTGAAACAAGTCAAAATATTTGAACTTTAATGACTTTTCGAAAATCAAATTAGTCTTCTGTTGAAACAATTCCATCACACTGAAAATGTTGGTTGAAATAACATGGAAACAATGTTGATTCCACCTGTCTTTGCCCAGTGACAGGCCTACACTGTCCAGTCATGACGGGTTGAAACCTTACCACCTCTGTCACCCATGCCTGCCTGTTTCACAGACTCTGCAGGAACCTCGTATTCATCGCTAATGCCTCAAAGATTAATTCATTGTAATGCTTTATTGAAGGTAGTCCAGAAACTGTACTGTCAGCGGCATGGAAGGTCACAAGAAAAAACCAGACTGATATTAATAGGTGCACTGGGATTCTTCGGCCGTCGCTATCGATTTTCTCTTAAACGTACCTAAATATCAACGGGTCTACAGGTGGGAGAGCTGCTTCTACGTAACCTATGTGGGAGGAAAAGAGTTAAAGTAAATTTGGTATGGAGATAAGTGAGATTATCAGTGAAATTGTATGGTTGACAAATTGGTATATAGACGTTTATATGTGTTTGGAAATGTCTGGTTAAAGGCTACTGTGCCAAAAATTGGATATTGGGCTTCCATACTAGAACCAGTTTCCTGGATTAATATGACCAATTCTGAACCAAGAAGTGATTTAAAAAAAATCGGTGTCTGGGAAAACTGTCCTAAGACATTACATACAATGACATCACAAAATGTTACATCCATGAATCACTTGCTGTCTGTGTCCCAATGGCACCCTATTCCCTACATGGTGCACTTATTTTGACCAGAGCCCTATATGGTCAAAAGTAGTGCACTATATAGGGAATAGGGTGCCAATTGGGACAACACACTTTCAATACTTATCAGTGCACTAAGGGGCCTTTTAATGCCGTCTCAGATATCTTCGCCATCCTCACAGAATGAAATACCCGCAAAAAGCATCTAACGAAACTAAAAACAGGTTGGCTATCGTTTACACAGATTTTAATAGTCCTGAGAGCGTGGTAAGAGCGTGGGGCTTGCAATGCCAATGTTGTGGTTTCAATTCCCGCAGGGAACAGAAAAAATGTATTCACCCACTGTACTGTAAGGGGCAGTTTCCTGGACACAGATTAAGCATAGTACTGGAATAAAAAGTAAACAATGGAGAATCTCCATTGTAAATGCTTTTTTAGTCCATGATTAGGTTTAATCTGTGTCCAGGAAACCACCTCTAAATTGCTTTGGTTAAAAGCATCTGCTAAGTGCCATAAAGGATTATTATAACAGTAGATGACTAATCATACACTTTGCTGATTGACTGGCTATCACTGACATCATTAGTGCTGAAATGGGCTGTGGGTAATAATGTGTCTAAGATGTAACTGAACCCATGCTTTTGGGATAATTGTTCTGGAATCTAATATAAGTCTAATATGCTTGGGTTTTACTCGCTGCCCGGATATCAGCCCTTCTATTGCATTAGTAAATGAATCAGACTCCAACTACTGTGTCCACCTCAAGTCTTAAGGGAACACTTGTGTACACCTGGGCGGACCTAGCGATTTGGGGCCTCTTTTTAAAATGCATTGAAGGGCACCCCTAAGCGACATTACCACCTGTAAATTAACTGCTGTGATTATTATTATCTGACATTTAAAAATACCTTGTTCATATAAGTGTTTCATTTCTATAAAGCTGTTGAATCAGTGGCTAACATACGTTTAGCGTTAAAACGGTCAGTGTGGGCCCTAGCTTAATTTAAAACCTATGAAACATAGCTAAGGCCGCCTGTGTACGTACACACACACACACACTCACTCTCAAACTCTACAATTTTGTAGATTATAAACTGCCTTAAATTGCGCATTCCAAAAACCATTTGTGTTCAATTACCTTCCATTAAACCAAATTGGAGGTTAAATTGGGTGTGTGAAGATATCCAAGAAAGATATCCAATATTCTGTATGGATTACATTTGCATGGCCGACCAAGACCCAGCTAAATGACAGGGGTCCTTGTTTGTTGTGCTGTAAACGGATTAGTCTTCACCCTGTCTTCAACAGCACTTTTTCCTCAAATCCCCCTTTACCGCTATTGAGCCACTGGCAGTTACAGATCACATTTCCTAATAACCAAACACACAAACACACATACTCATAGGCTACACTCTCACACACAGTGGTAATAACAGTGTTCAGACGTAAGAATTAACAGAAAATAAGCTCTGAAGATTATGGACAAGATCAAATGAATGATCTGGATTTCAGATTTCTTTCCAATAGAATGGATACCAACCTTAAACCGAGATAGGCAATATGGCAGAAATGTAACTAGGCTATGTGTGCAGGCAACTTGGCATATTGGTAGGCTAAGCATCTCTTATCCCAATTGGGGATACTGGAGTACTACAAATTCTGCCCATGTGCTTGCTGTTGGCTGCTGGCCAATGTTGCCGTTTATTGAAGCCACCTTTTGATCATACATAGGTTCTCTTTTTTTGAAAACACTAATTAGTGGATATGAGGCCCGCAAGACAGACATGCGCTGGCATCAAACACCCACGTTGCCTGTTTGTAAAAATCTCCATACACGAAAACACGCGGGCACACGTAGATGCATACACACACTCAAACGGATACAACAGACAGATGCGCACACACACACTTAACAAATACTTTCAGTAATTTGGAACAGCTGCAAGTGGGTATACTGCGGCCAATAAACAGCTACTTACATCACCATAAAACTCTACTACAGCTAACATTGGAACAGAGCCAACAGCACGCACAGTGCCAGCAACCATCAACCGCTAAGTAGCAAACGACCTGTTAAATGTGCGAATGTGTGCAGACTGCACAGACACCATACACACGCGCCGTTGAAATAGGATGTACGCACATTCATACAAGAGCTGACAACAGAGGCATGTTCGTTCTGCGTTGCATATTTCTACCTAAAGTTCTGCCCTGCTGAATGCGGCCCAGTGCTCGTTCATGCTCCTCCCTCCATCCATCTCTCCCGCAGACATAAGAGACATTGACCACACTACACCACCTCTTATCCAGTTTATTTTTTAATTTTTCAGCAAAAAAAGAAAGGGAACAAAAGAAAACAATGGAAACGAAGGCTACAGAATTCTCTTATCCATTTTTTCTTACGTAATTTGTTATAAAATGCAGCACTAAGCTAATGTGTAAGTAAAATAAAAAATGTAAAGCAAAAAGTGTGTTAAATAAGGATTTTTCTTTAAGATACAGGATATTCTTTGCGACTATTAAATTTTTCCTCCGCGCTCTGCTTGTAGCCTCACAGCCACACCTATGGCCTGGCCACAACCTCTCACTCAGTGTTCGCTCTTTGGCAAGAAAGAAAGAGGGTGTGTGTTTGAGAGAGAGCAATTGAGAAAATCAATACTGTGGAGAAATGAGAATGAAAGAGGGAAGGATTAATGGAGAGAAAGGTGAGAGCGAGACATGCTGTCTGGGAACGGAATGGAGAGAGTGAAAGGAAAGGAGAGGGGGAGAGAGATAGTGGTGTGCGACGGGCAAGGGCAGGGAGAAGAGTGTGTGAGAAAGCGAGCGTTAGAATCCCACTGAGGGGTCGGGGTTGGCATCGAGAGGCAGAGGCGTCACAGAAACATTTCAAACATTTCAAACATTGGGGGCTGATGGGAAATGAAGTCCATGGCTAAGACATTATGGGTTATATCGAGCAAAACCTGAACACCCATGAGCGTCCTACTGAATAACTTTTTCAAAGGTTATCCACCAAGTCAGCACAGTCCACTTGATTTTGCTTAACTGTCCTTGTGCTCTGCGCACGGACATGTTCGTAAAAGTGTGTTTGTGCGTGAACTGTGCAGGGGGCACCAGATTCCGATGGAGGCACAGAACAGTCTCGTGACAGCTCTTTGTTTCTGTGTCCATGTCATCATCTTAGAAGTTTATCTTTGGCCAGCACCCGTATCAGCATGATCGTCATGGCCAAAGGAAATCTCAAGGAGTATGTTTTCTGTCTCCATAGCGACTAAAACTCACACGTCGAGATGGATTAAATCCCTGACAGACAGACCAATCCATTTTGAATCCAACCCCCCTAACTGGGAGGGCGATCGGTGCCTGTTGTCAAGAAAGAAAGTTCTCTGTCCCAAGTTACAGAAAATGGCTGCTGTGTCAACAGTGGCAGGCAGGTCAGAAAGGGAGGGGGTAAGGGAGTTGGGCTGGGTTGGCCTTTGCAATAGTCCAACCCCCCCGCCTCTCCACCCTCTAATTGGATTCTCCCAAAACCTGAGGTGGTGGTGGTGATGATGATGATCGGGACAGTAGCAATAAGCAGAGGAGGGGTATAGTTTTTCTGAACAGGGATGTCCCTGACCTGGAGGTGGGAGGGGTTAAGGCTGAGAAGCAGTGGTGGGTGTGACACCCTCAAAAGTCATAGGTCAAAAACACAAAACAGTGGAGGGATTCAAGAGATGTCTTGGGGTGGTAGGTGCCCCTTTGGTAAAGATCTAAGATCAGCTTAACCTGCCTTGCATCATACCCTTAATCACTGGGTTGACCTGAACTAAAAACGGACCTTAGATCAGTGTCTATGGGGTAACTTCATCCCACTCTGTGGTAGAAGTGATGAAATAAGGGGGCTCTGGTCTTTATTATGAGGTTGGCAGACAGGGAAGTGACAGATAGGTGGCTTTAGCAGTCCCTTGCCGGGGCGCGAAAATTAGCAGTGCTTTGTCTGCTTATTTGAGGTAAGAGCATAGTCACAACAAAAAGGGGCACTGGGGACAAAAGTGTGTATAAAGCGTGTATTTGTCTGCGTCCCCATTTGCCACCTTTTCCCTGAAGTCTCCACTTACACACTTTCTCACATTGATTTAACAACGCAGCCAATGCTTTACACCAATCCTATACTTTTCATAAATCCATGACGGGGACTGTACAACTGCACATTTCTGGATAAAGGTGGACGAATTGGAACGCAGTCTCTTTCTCTCCTCTTCCTCGCTCTCATCGTCGGGGTTGGGGTTGGGGTTGGGGTTGGTTGGGGGGGGGGGGGGGGGTGTTCAGGAGCACTCCTCACCGATGCGCTGGCATGAGCGGCCCACCTTGCGATCCAGCTTGACCATCTTGAGGACGGCCTCCTCGCGCCCACGCCCCAGGTGGTCAAAGAGGCAGTCGTGCTGCTCGGGCAGCCGATGGAGCATGCAGAACACGTAGCCTGGTGGAGAGAAAGAGAAAGTGAGATGTTTTCTACTTTGATATAGCTCAAAAAGCATGAGTTGACACACACCCAAAAACATTGAAGAGGTGCTGACTATGCTCTTAGCCGAACGAGTATGCTCGTATACCCTCACCAAAGTCCAAAACAAACAAAAACGTCACAAAATGTCGTCATAATATATGCACAAACTCTCCCAAACTGTTTCGGCTGGGAAGCATGCGGACGCCTCAAGGACGCTTCCAAACCTAAATACATTAAATGCATTCTTCAACATAGGGGAGTGGTGGAGTGGGGAGAAAATGAGGCAGGAGAAACGTGGTTCTCCTTTTTCAATTGGTTGACAGATGTGTCGTTGCACCAATAGTTAAAAAACTCCCTTCGTTTTCTGGCCCTCCCCCAGATTTTTAAGGCATAATTTTGTCCTGTTTGGGAGCACACTTGTTGTTAGGCTACATATTTTAATGGTGATGGGCAAGAAAGGGGGACAAAGAAGATTAAATTAAGATGTGAATAGATAAGAGGAGAATAAGAGAGGAGATGGGGAGCAAGGGTGTAGGACGGGGTACTTTTTCAAATTCTTTCAAAAGATAAATTGGGCCCAGACCTCGTTCCCAAGTTAGCTAGCTATAGCGGCATACATTTTCTCTAATATGTCAATAAAGCCAGATCCAATTCAATAGAACAGAGACAACAAATGCATCTCCACATTGTAAAGCTTCAACCCCAGCTAATGCAATTCTGTGAACAAAACATTAAAATTAAAATTAGAGAATAAAGTATTCTTCTAATGCCATTATACTCGGCTCACAAGAACACCACTGTGTACATAAAACGCAGGATCTCAAATCAGTCCTTAGAAGCTACGACACCGGTCTTCAATACTCTACGCATGAAACATGTAATAAAAAAATCAACCCTTACGTCCTGATTTGTCATAGACGCTTGCTAAAAAACTTTAATGCGCAAGCCTTCCTTTATGACCTGGCCTCTGTAAATTGGTATGGAATCAGCTTGATCCCCTGTGTCGATTACGCTTGGACCTTCTTTTTTGATATTTCAGTGTTATTGTTAACAAACGTCCCCATAAAGAAAATGAGAATTAAAAAACAGGTTCAGCCCCTGGTTCGACCGTGATCTGGCAGAGTTACTCCACCTCAAGAACTCCATTTGGCGAAAGGCTCGGCACACGCATACTCAGGCTGACTGGCTCTCGTTCAGGCTATCCGGAAGGCCAAAGTTAGTTACTTTAAGGAGCAGTTCTCTCTGTGGGTCTAACCTCAAGAAGTTCTGGAAAACGGTTAAAGACCTGGAGAATAAACACTTCTCCTCACAGCTGCCCATGTCCCTTAATGTTGATGATGTGGTTGTTACTGACAAGGAGCACATGGCTGAGCTCTTTAAAATCACCACTACATTAAGTCAGGATTCCTATTTGACTCAGCCTTGCCTAATTGCCCGTCCAACATTTCCTTATCTCCTACCCCTTCTAATGCGACTAGCCCCGATGCTCCTCCCTCTTTTTCCCCTGCCCCGGTACAAAGTTTCTCCCTGCAGGCGGTCACTGAGTCTGAGCTCCTTAAACTTGACCCCAAAAAACCCATCCGGGTCAGATGGTTTAGATCCTTTCTTCCTTAAGGTTGCAGCCCCTATCATCGCCAAGCCTATCTCTGACCTTTTTAACCTGTCTCTCCTCTCTGGGGAGGTTCCCATTGCTTGGAAGGCAGCCACGGTGCGTCCTTTATCAAACTGATCCTAACTGTTACAGGCCAATTTCTATCTTGCCCTGTTTATCAAAAGTGTTAGAAAAACTTGTCAATAATCAACTGACTGGCTTTCTTGATGTCTATAGTATTCTCTCTGGTATGCAATCTGGTTTCTGATCAGGTTATGGATGTGTCACTGCAACCTTAAAAGGTCCTAAATGATGTCACCATTGCCCTTGATTCTAAGCAATGTTGTGCTGCTATTTTTATTGACTTGGCCAAAGACCATTCCATTCTTGTGGGCCGGCTAAGGAGTATTGGTGTCTCTGAGGGGTCTTTGACCTGGTTTCCTAACTACCTCTCTCAAAGAGTGCAGTGTATGAAGTCAGAACATCAGCTGGCTCAGCCACTGCCTGTCACCAAGGGAGTACCCCAAGGCTCGATCCTAGGCCCCACGCTCTTCTCAATTTACATCAACAACATAGCTTAGGCAGTAGGAAACTCTCTCATCGATTTATATGCAGATGATACAGTCTTATACTCAGCTGGCCCCTCCCCAGATGTTGTGTTAAAAGCTCTATAACAAAGGTTTCTTAGTGTCCAACAAGCTTTCTCTGCCCTTAACCTTGTTCTGAACACCTCCAAAACAAAGGTCATGTGGTTTGGTAAGAAGAATGCCCCTCTCCCCACCAGTGTGATTACTACCTCTGAGGGTTTAGAGCTTGAGGTAGTCACCTCATACAATTACTTGGGAGTATGGCTAGACGGTACACTGTCCTTCTCTCAGCACATATCAAAGCTGCAGGCTAAGGTTAAACCTAGACTTGGTTTCCTCTATCGTAATCGCTCCTCTTTCACCCCAGTTGCCAAACTAACCCTGATTCAGATGACCATCCTACCCACGCTAGATTACGGAGACGTAATTTATAGATCGGCAGGTAAGGGTGCTCTCGAGCGGCTAGATGTTCTTTACCATTCGGCCATCAGATTTGCCACCAATGCTCCTTATAGGACACATCACTGCACTCTACACTCCTCTAAACTGGTCATCTCTGTATACCCGTAGCAAGACCCACTGGTTGATGCTTATTTATAAAACCCTCTTAGGCCTCACTCGCCCTATATGAGATACCTACTGCAGCCCTCATCCTCCACATACAACACCAGTTCTGCCAGTCACATTCTGTTAAAGGTCCCCAAAGCACACACATCCCTGGGTCGCTCCTCTTTTCAGTTCCCTGCAGCTAGTGACTGGAACGAGCTGCAAAAAACACTCAAACTGGACAGTTTTATCTCCATCTCTTCATTCAAAGACTCAATCATGGACACTCTTACTGACACTTGTGTATTGTTGTCTCTACCTTCTTGCCTTTGTGCTGTTGTCTGTGCCCAATAATGTTTGTACCATGTTTTATGCTGCTACCATGTTGTGTTGCTACCATGTTGTTGTCATGTGGTGTTGCTACCATGCTGTCTTGTCGCCATGCTATGTTGTCGTCTTAGGTCTCTCTTTATGTAGTGTTGTGGCGTCTCTCGTCTTGATGTGTGTTTTGTCCTATATTTTTATTTTGAATCCTAGCCCCCGTCCCCGCAGGAGGCCTTATGCCTTTTGGTAGGTCGCCATTGTAAATAAGAATTTGTTCTTAACTGACTTGCCTAGTTAAATAAAATACAAGGAGCTAGGACTGACCTCTAGTCAGTCATTAGGAGGTACAACACCCACCATCTTCAATACACTCCAGCCTGAGTATCATTGTCAGTCAAACAACCCTGATCTCAAAATCAGCCCTTAGGAGCTAAGCTGCCGGAGTATCATTGCCAGTGAAGACACAACCACCAGCGATCCTCCCCATTGAGTCTCCATTGTGTTAGCCCTCCACAAAGGCCCGGTAGCTGAAAGGAGTCTCATTAACAGAGAGAGAGAGAGACTCGTTAGTTACGTTGAGAGTCTTAATGTATTCATTAATATGCATAATGTTCCTGACAGCGACAAACACTGATTAAAGTCTCAGAGCGACAGCACCCGCAGCGCCCTTTAATTGAAGAGTGGCGGCGGCGATTATTAAGCCGTGCACGGGAATGAATAAAGAAAGATGTGGTAGTGTGGTGCTACAGCGGGGCTAGCATGGAGCCGAAGGTAACGGTGGAAGAGGGAGCAGCTGATGGACACGAAAGGGGAGTGGGGGTAGGGGAGTTTGGTGGGAGTGTGAGGAGAAAGAGATTTGGTGACTAAAGTAACTGATATGTGTGCCTGTAGTGGTGTGTGTGTGTGTGTGTACATATGCACCGTACACACACACACACACACACACACACCTCACCTCACCTCACCTCTGACATATAAAATGCTAACAGATGTACCTACTGGTGTTAACAGTTAACACAAAACTTCAACTTAAGATAGAGCATGGTTAATATACGATAAAGGGACAAAGCTATTGCTATTGTACACAAAAACATTCACAGCCCAAAACAAAGCACGGCCAATAGATAAACAGATCAAGTGAGGTACTTCTCCTGACAAACGGCAGGGAAAACTCTTTCTCAAGTGATAGTTAAGAGTTGCTGTGAAAATGCTGCTAGCGCTTAACAGAAGGTGCCATCAATTTGGCGGCAAAGCATTCAGTCACTAACAGCGAGACGTGTCATTAAGCCATCATTAGAATGACTCGTTGTCATAACAAATAGCAGTGCTACGCAAGCACAGGCGGTGGCTTCAGTAATGACACATTTAGTAGCATACAATTACTGCTTAGTGGCTGAAATGATAGGCTTACTAACAATGTGATTGTGGATTTATCAGATATATATAGCTAAGCCTTAAAGAGGTAGCTCATTCAAAGTGATTTAGACTATTGATTTATACTTGCTGTTGACAACATGAAAATAGAGGTAGTCAACAATGCTAGTGCTAAACAGTAGTAAAGTAATCAACACCAAATTAGTTTAGCTGATTATCTGGGTCCATCAACTACCTTCTAGTTGTCTCTAAACTGAGGTATGGCCAATCAGGGTTGGGGTCAATTCCCTTTTAATTCAGTCAATTCAGGAAATGAAATGAAATACCTTGTAACATTTTCGCAATTAAAAAAAACTTACCATTGGAATTTCAGTTTATTTCAAGAATTTACTGCAATGAAATGGAACGTAGCTACAAACTGGAATTTACTCCAACCATGTGTCCTATTTCATTTTTGAGTGAGGCCTCCGTCTAAATCTATGCCTCCAGGTCTGCAGTTCTAGAATACGAGGGTAAAGCAACTTATGAGTAAGTTCTTAACTCTGACGAGTTGAGTCTTAAGTATGAAGTCTCATTTGTATGAAAAACAAGTTCATTAGCTCAAAGTAGTTTTTTTTAAAAACAGTATTACTTTTTGGGGCGGTCAAGTACAAAATATCAGTCCAGTTGAAATGCTCCTGAGGCAAGTGAAGTAACAGTATCACTTTTTCTCCCTTAAATGAGGCCTAAACAAAAGCACACCTATTTGTGGAGTTTCTCCCATTCTTCTCTGCAGATCCTCTCAAGCTCTGTCAGGTTGGATGGGGAGCGTCGGTGCACAGCTATTTTCAGGTCTCTCCAGAGACATTAGATTGGGTTCAAGTCCGGGCTCTGGCTGGGCCACTCAAGGACATTCAGAGGCTTGAACCGAAGCCACTCCTGCGTTGTCTTGGCTGTGTGCTTAGGGTCATTGTCCGGTTAGAAGGTGAACCTTAGCCCCAGTCTGAGGTCCTAAGCGCTCTGGAGCAGATTTTCATGAAGGAGCTCTCTGTACTTTGCGCTGTTCATCTTTCCCTCGATCCTGACTAGTCTCCCAGTCCCTGCTGCTGAAAAACTTCCCCACAGCATGATGCTGCCACCACCGTGCTTCACCGTAGGGATGGTGCCAGGTTTCCTCCAGACGTGACGCTTGGTATTCAGTTCAGAGTGTTCAATCTTGGTTTTATCAGACCAGAGAATCTTGTTTCTCATGGCCTGAGAGTCCTTTAGGTGCCTTTTGGCAAACTCTAAGCGGGCTGTCATGTGCCTTTTCCTGAGGAGTGGCTTCGGTCTGGTCACTCTACCATAAAGGCCTGATTGGTGGAGTGCTGCAGAGATGGTTGTCCTTCTGGAAGGTTCTCCCATCTCCACAGACGAACTCTAGAGCTCTGTCAGAGTGACCATTGGGTTCTTGGTCACATCCCTGACCAAGGCTCTTCTCCCCCGATTGCTCAGTTTGGCTGTGCGACCAGCTCTAGGAAGAGTCTTGGTGGTTCCAAACTTCTTCCATTTAAGAATTATGGAGGCCACTGTGTTCTTGGGGACCTTCAATACCGCAGAAATTATTTTGGTACCCTTCCCCAGCTCTGTGCCTCGACACAATCCTGTCTCGGAGCTCTACGGACAATTCCTTCGACCTCATGGCTTGGTTTTTGCTCTGACATGCACTTTCAACTGTGGGACCTTATATAGACAGGTGTGCCTTTCCAAATAATGTCCAATCAATTGAATTTACCACAGGTGGACTCCAATCAACTTGTAGAAACATCAAGGATGATCAATGGAAACAGGATGCACCTGAGCTCAATTTTGAGTCTCATAGCAAAGGGTCTGAATACTTATGTAAACAAGGTATTTCTGTTTTTTATTTTAATAAATGTGCTAAAATTTATAGAAACGTGTTTTTGCTTTGTCATTATGGGGTATGGTGTGTAGATTTGATGAGGAACGTTATTTATTTAATCAATTTTAGAATAAGGCTGTAAAGTAACAAAATGTGGAAAAAGTCAAGGGGTCTGAATACTTTCAGAATGCCCTGTACTGTGTGTCTACACAGGAATGTTAGCATACATGCATTTGTATGAGAACGAGTGTGTGAACGTAAGCATATATGAGCCTCTGTATTTGCTTGCATGTTTGTATAAGTGTCCCATATGTAGACCTATGTCTGTTTATGTTTTTATGAGTGCGTGTGTGTGTACTGACCACAGCGGCAGGAGCCCAGCTCTTGCTGTACCAGCTCCAGTTTGGTTTGGCATCGGTGGCAGCGCCGGCGGCTCTTCTGCTTGGAAGCCCCGTGGGACGATGACGACTCCTTAGACCCGTGGCCCACCCGTACCCTCTTCTCTGGGGATGCATCACTCTCTGACTCAGAGGCTGCTCACACACACACACACAAAAAGAAAACACACACAAAAAAGGCCACACCGATCCATTAAGGGTGTGATTTAGTGAAGGGTCGTTCGCAAACGAACGGCTCCTTCTGAACGTCTAAGCTGACATATGGCATTTTTTTAAGATGGTCATACTATGGATCATTTAGCTATTGGATTTTGAATTTTACCCATTTAGGTATACAAAAAAATACAAACATTATTTGATAAAATATTGAATTTGGCCTTTATAGCCCACTGAAATGAACATTCATAAATGGCAAAAAAAGACTAATCGTAAGAAATAAGGTTTTGAAGTGTTTGTCCTATACAGAGTCTAGGAGATCAAATTTATAAGAAAGCTCAGGAAATATATGATTTTCTACACATATTTAACCCTTTTTTATGTGTAGGCACAAAACTACCTTCATACTGTACTTCCATTCATGTTTTTAAACCGGTACCGCTTACCTTCAGACGACTCCCGTGACACTTGTGGGGGTCGTAGAGCAAAACGGAGTCTCCCCTTTCCATAGAGTGGTCATATTCGTTTATAGGTCAATCCGTTCAGACGCTACAGTCGTTTTCGTGAGGAAACCGATTTTAGAGATGTTTCATGGTCTGACAAACACCTCTCTTGCTCTGCCACCTTTCACCACAGATGTGGAAGTGCGACATCGACGGATGCGGTAGATTGAGACGCATCCAATGCCAAATAACAGCTTAAACTGACAGATTTTGATGTTCCTTAGACCGACTATTTTTATTTTAAGAGGGTGAATCTTCACTGCAGAAACAAACATTTATTGGAATGTGCATTTCAGGATCTGACAATGGCAGACTACCTTTTGGGCTTTACATTGGAGATGCATTATAATTGTTTTGGGCGATTTTGAAGCATTTTGAACGAAGCGCCGTTTGGGAGCCAAACGAGCTGGGTCTTTTACGTGAACGGAGCCAAATAAGCCGGCTCACCGAAAAGACTCGGAAAGCCCTTCACTAGTGTGTCCAGGGTTGTCGTTTAAAGAGAATATGTTCTCGCTTAACTTACAGTGCATTCGGAAAGTATTCAGACCCCTTGACTTTTTCCACATTTTGTTACATTACAGCCTTATTCTAAATTATTAAATTGTTTTTTTCCCCTAATCAATCTACACACATTGCCCCATAATGACAAAGCCAAAAAAATGTATTCTATCAATTTTAGAATAAGGCTGTAACGTAACAAAATGTGGAAAAAGGGAAGGGGTTTGAATACTTTCCGAATCCACTGTACATGTTAACAAATACATTAGACATTGTTTCTCAAACCTCTCTTTGGGGACTCCCAGACATTTCACAATTTTGTTGTAGCCCAGAATTAGCACACCTGGGATGTATTCACTAGGAACCAAACAAAAGAAAACGGGCCAAAACTAACCTGAACTCCAATAATCCTTTTTATTTGTGGCAAAACGTTCTGTTGCAAAAGTTTTTGCAATGGTTTACACTAATGAATACACACCTGAAATAGCTAGTCAAGGGCTTGATGATAAGTTGAATCAGGTGTGCTACCTCTGTAATACATCAAATACAAGGAACAGCTGAGGGTCCCCAAGGAGAGGTTTGAGAAATGCTGCATTGGGCTAATTAAAGCACTTCCCCAATCACATTCTACAACAAAATAACAGACAACAATACCCATACATTACTTTAGTTAAAATGGCTGCCGCTGAAGAAATGAGTCAAACATCTGCCCAGTAGTCAGTTTTAGGTCAGGATTTTTCTCCACAATCCCAGTGATTTTTCTTTCCTCCCTGTTTCGGCTGTGGAACAAAGATCTCGGCTCTATAAATCTCTGACAACTAGGCCAAGTTGACCGGCGAATCTTTGTGAGTCGCGATCAATTCCTCCACGCCCATTATCCTATGGAATCTCTCTGTGTGCCCTATGTAGGGAATAGGGTGCAATTTGGGATGGAGACTCCCTTTGTTATCTCCAGTCTTTCTGCCTTTTTAAAATCGGTCTTCTTTTTAGCAACGCAGCCCTCAATGGATGGTAGAAACACGTGATCTCAGGCAGGGGAAGAGGGGTCCCTTAGCCGTTTAAGACTCGCTGACAAGTGTGTGTGGGTGTGCGCTTGAACGCATGTCCACTCCTTAATGTCAACCTTAATAAGATGGAAAGGTCAAATATTGCAGCCATATTACATAAGACTGTAGAGCCTAAGCAATACCCAAATACAATCTATGGTCACTTCACTTACTTGCTCACTGAAGTGCGTGTGCAGTTTCAATTGCGTAGGGAATATACTTAATGAAAAATACCTAACAAATGTGAGGTAGCCTACTTTTCCCATATCCCCCATTATTGCTTTCAATTTACAGTCTACCTATCGGGTCAATTAATTCTGCCATTTTGGATCAATTAACAGTGGTTGATTCCAATTCCCTCCGACACTAGTCTCACTCCATTCCGGCTCCGTTAAGTGGAGTTGACAGGCCCGTAGTGGGAACACAGCGCCTGACACAGAAACCAGTGTTAGGTCCATCGAACCATAGCTACCTGAGTTGCAGGGCCGTTTTGTGGGGGTGGATACTAGTGTGCCGTGGGCTGTGTCTGTGCTGGAGACTTCTGGAAGAGAAAGGGAAAAAAAAAAGAAAGGAAGAGAGAGACTTGTGGTTAGTACAATCCATCAACTACAAAGAGCAGACTGATGGACAAGGAGGGTCAAGGCGTGATGCAATGTAGTTATTTATTGACTATCTTAGATGTATTTTCTTTTTTTCATGTATTCTTCTTGGAGGTATTTAATAGACTGATGTTTTGTGGCCCTAAAATGTCATGTCAATCCCTACATCTAGAGACATTTTAAGTTTGGAAAGAGTCACCTGTTTAGAAGTGAGACAACGCAGATTTACAGTTAAATTTGTTGAATTGTAGATAATTAAACTCAGCAAAAAAAGAAACTTCCTCTCACTGTCAACTGCGTTTATTTTCAGCAAACTTAACATGTGTAAATATTTGTATGAACATAACAAGACTCAACAACTGAGACATAAACTGAACAAGTTCCACAGACATGTGACTAACAGAAATTGAATAATGTGTCCCTGAACAAAGGGGGGGTCAAAATCAAAAGTAACAGTCAGCATCTGGTGTGGCCACCAGCTGCATTAAGTACTGCAGTGCATCTCCTCCTCATGGACTGCACCAGATTTGCCAGTTCTTGCTGTGAAATGTTAGCCAACTCTTCCACCAAGGCACCTGCATTTTCCCAGACATTTCTAGGGGGGGAATAGCCCTAGTCCTCACCCTCCGATCCAACAGGTGCCAGACGTGCTCAATGGGATTGAGATCCGGGCTCTTCGCTGGCCATGGCAGAAAACGGACATTCCTGTCTTGCAGGAAATCAGGCACAGAATGAGCAGTATGGCTGTTGGCATTGTCATGCTGGAGGGTCATGTCATGAGGAGGATGTCTTCCCTGTAATGCACAGAGTTGAGATTGTCTGCAATGACAACAAGCTCAGTCCGATGATGTGACACACTGCCCCAGACCATGACGGACCCTCCACCTCGATCCCGCTCCAGAGTACAGGCCTCGTTGTAACGGTCATTCTTTCGACGATAAACTAGAATCCTACCATCACCCCTGGTGAGACAAAACCGCGACTCGTCAGTGAAGAGCACTTTTTGCCAGTCCTGTCTGGTCCAGCGACGGTGGTTTGTCCCCATAGGCGACGTTGTTGCCGGTGATGTCTGGTGAGGACCTGCCTTAAAACAGGCCTACAAGCCCTCAGTCCAGCCTCTCTCAGCCTATTGCGGACAGTCTGAGCACTGATGGAGGGATTGTGCGTTCCTGGTGTAACTCGGGCAGTTGTTGTTGCCATCCTGTACCTGTCCCACAGGTGTAATGTTCGGATGTACCGATCCTGTGCAGGTGTTGTTACACGTGGTCTGCCACTGCGAGGACGATCAGCTGTCCGTCCTGTCTCCCTGTAGCACTGTCTTATGCGTCTCACAGTACGGACATTCCAATTTATTGCCCTGGCCACATATGCAGTACTCATGCCTTCTTGCAGCATGCCTAAGGCACGTTCACGCAGATGAGCAGGGACCCTGGGCATCTTTCTTTTGGTGTTTTTCAGAGTTAGTAGAAAGGCCTCTTTAGTGTCCTAAGTTTTCATAACTGTGACCTTAATTGCCTACAGACTGTAAGCTGTTAGTGTCTTAAAGACAGTTCCACAGGTGCATGTTCATTAATTGTTTATGGTTCATTGAACAACCATGGGAAACAGTGTTTAAACCCTTTACAATGAAGATCTGTGAAGTTATTTGGATTTTTACGAAGTATCTTTGAAAGTCAGGGTCCTGAAAAAGGGGCTGTTTCTTTTTTTGCTGAGTTTATATAGGCGTAAGGTGGCCAATGCTGAACCTCTGACTTGGACATTGCATACTCATAAACCCTTCTAGACTTGCTGGAACAGCAACTTGGCAGCATTAATCATTTTTATGACAGGGAATCATTTTTCTCTATCAATAAATGGTATCCAAATTACCTTTATGTTTGGCTAACTTACTTAGCTACCTATGATATATATTGTCTATATGTCAATTGAGGTTGAATAACCCAAGAGTCAATGTGACTGACAAGTCAAGTATCTTACACTAATCGCTACAGAAATACATTTTACCGTTCATTAAAATGGGTGCCAGTCATGACAGGTCACTGTCATGACTGGGACTCTGACTCTGACTGCCTTCCATTCTCCCACCTCTCTCTCCTATTTATGCCAGGACAGATATAGCCTGGTATGGGCAGCTCCACTGTTGCTGCAGAAAATAGCAGATGTGTCCTCTGCAATAGCAGGCTCCTGGACTAAAGGACTAAGTGTGTGTGTGTGTGTGTGTTTATTAAAGAAAGCAGACTGTGTTAGTCTGTCTCATGGAAACACACAGAAAGACACACACAAATATCTATTAACTGGTGGTTTAGGAACCACAACTTTATCGTGCAATCCCGGTTATGTTTTTAAAATGTACTGTGTATATGTAACTCGTTTCAGGAAACTAGGTGTATGTAGCACTTCACTACTTCACAGGAGCGGCATTTGAACGTAAACATTTATTTTTTATCAAATTGTGTTTTTTGGCAGAAATGCCTTCTGGAACATGTGAACATTCATGTGCTCTAACAAACTTGCATTCCATCCATAAATACGAATACAATTGTTAAAATTACGAACCTAGTTAGTTTAGCAACAGAAAAAGACAGGAACCTTCCCGCTAGCCACGATTGGCTGAGATAATGGATGGGCTGGACATGCCGGGAGATGAGTTTGGATTGGTCTGCCATGTAGCATGCTTCTGTCTATAATGTGAGCTGTTCACTATGTGTTGACAGTCCTTTCTATCGCACTGAAAGATATAACGTTAGCCATCGAGAACTACAAAAGTTTTGCTACCTTCCTCAACAACATTGATGCCCTGAATTTAGCAGGTGCTATCGACAGATCAGTTGGAAAAAGTGATGGGCTACTTTCTGCACACAACACGGTCAGTGTGAACCGGAGTGACATGACACAACGCTGGCCAAACAAGATGTAGCTACAAACAAAACGGAGCTAAATGGTTCCAGTCTGCCGTGAAACGTTCATCCATGTATACAGGTAAATCTAGCTACATTTTCAGATATGTTTTGTCAGAAAGTCATTTTTTATTGCAAGTTAAAGCATGCTGTTAGATAACTAGCTAACATTAGCTTGCTGGTTCGCTAGCTAATGTTACGTGTATGATCTGTGTAGTAATATTATTCTAAATCAGAAAACCATTTGCATTGCTAGTTATAGCCTAATGTTAGCTAGCTAACATTGAACCTAGTTTATTAGCTTTAGCTACCTGCAGATTCATACTACAGCTATGGCAATGTTTGTATTAGTAGCAGTATGAGTTGGGATTATGCCGGTTCATTGTTTAGCTAGCTAGCTACACATCTAAACAATAAAGACTCCACTTCGGCCTGATTATTACATGACCCATCAAATTAGCCAGGTGTGTCTGGGTGATTACAGCCATCTATTGTATTTAATTAATTAAAATTAATTAAAATTAATATGTATTAATTAAATTAATAATTATTAATTAATTAATTAATTAATTAATTAAAAATATTAATTAATTTCATGGACATGTGTACAGGTCTAGACAATAGTGACCAATCCACTTAGCTAGATGTGGCTGGGGGATGGTTATAGCATTTCCTTCACATTACTCATCAATTTAGTGTGTCGGGTAAGTGTCATCTAATAATGATACAATATTTTCACCTGGACACTTTGTTTTTGATATTGCTACACCTTCTGTATCCTGTGCATGTGACAAAATTTTTTTATATTTTATTTGATAAAGGGTGTATTAACCAAATGGCCTCACATGTGAATCCTTAAAGAAATGGGTGGGGCTAAGGCTTAAGAGGGTGTGAATGATGCTGAATGGGTATACAAAGAAGAGCTGTCCAGTAGGTGTACCAAAACATTCAAGGGTCATTTTCTCAAAAGTGGGGTTATAAGTTTATCAACTTTCAAAGCAGAATTACTTTCCCATTGTTCCTCAACTGCAGTGTATGATATACCATTGTCTAGCTCTGAGACACTACTTTTATCCAATGGAAAAAACACAGTTTCAAATGTTGCTACATAAAACCGAATCGAGGTGGTCGGTCACATACAGTGAGAGAAAAAAGTATTTGATCCCCTGCTGATTTTGTACGTTTCCCCACTGACAAAGATATGATCAGTCTATAATTTTAATGGTAGGTTTATTTGAACAGTGAGAGACAGAATAACAACAACAAAATCCAGAAAAACCCATGTCAAACATTTTATAAATTGATTTGCATTTTAATGAGGGAAATAAACATTTTACCACCTCTCAATCAGAACGATTTCTGGCTCCCAGGTGTCTTTTATACAGGTAACGAGCTGAGATTAGGAGCACACTCTTAAAGGGAGTGCTCCTAATCTCAGCTTGTTACCTGTATAAAATACACCTGTCCACAGAAGCAATCAATCAGATTCCAAACTATCCACCATGGCCAAGACCAAAGAGCTCTCCAAGGATGTCAGGGACAAGATTATAGACCTACACAAGGCTGGAATGGGCTACAAGACCATTGGCAAGCAGCTTGGTGAGAAGGTGACAAGTTGGTGTGATTATTTGCAAATGGAAGAAACACAAAATAACTGTCAATCTTCCTCGGCCTGGGGCTCCATGAAAGATCTCACCTCGTGGAGTTGCAATGATCATGAGAACGGTGAGGAATCAGCCCAGAAATACACGGGAGGACATTGTCAATGATCTCAAGGCAGCTGGGACCATAGTCACCAAGAAAACAATTGGTAACACAATACGCCATGAAGGACTGAAATCCTGCAGCGCCCGCAAGGTCCCCCTGCTCAAGAAAGCACATATACAGGGCCGTCTGAAGTTTGCCAATGAACATCTGAATGATTCAGTTCAGAGGAGAATTGGGTGAAAGTGTTGTGGTCAGATGAGACCAAAATCGAGCTCTTTGGCATCAACTCAACTTGCCGTGTTTGGAGGAGGAGGAATGCTTCCTATGACCCCAAGAACACCATCACCACTGTCAAACATGGAGGTGGAAACATTATGCTTTGGGGGTGTTATTCTGCTAAGGGGACAGGACAACTTCACTGCATCAAAGGGACGATGGACGGGGCCATGTACCGTCAAATCTTGGGTGAGAACCTCCTTCCCTCAGCCAGGGCATTGAAAATGGGTCGTGGATGGGTATTCCAGCATGACAATGACCCAAAACACACGGCCAAGGCAACAAAGGAGTGGCTCAAGAAGAAGCACATTGAGGTCCTGGAGTGGCCTAGCCAGTCTCCAGACCTTAATCTCATTGAAAATCTGTGGAGGGAGCTGAAGGTTCGAGTTGCCAAACGTCAGCCTCGAAACCTTAATGACTTGGAGACGATCTGCAAAGAGGAGTGGAACAAAATCCCTCCTGAGATGTGTGCAAACCTGGTGGCCAACTACAAGAAACGTCTGACCTCTGTGATTGCCAACAAGGGTTTTGCCACCAAGTACTAAGTAATGTTTTGCAGAGGAGTCAAATAATTATTTCCCTCATTAAAATGCAAATAAATTTATAACATTTTTGACATGCGTTTTTATTCTGTCTCTCACTGTTCAAATAAACCTACCATTAAAATTATAGACTGATCGTGTCTTTGTCAGTGGGCAAAGTACAAAATCAGCAGGGGATCAAATACTTTTTTCCCCTCACTGTATGTATAATAAAATCAACATTCTAAACTGCAGGCCATAGGCCCCTGTCCTTACCATCTTGTTCAGGTAGAGGTGTGGCTCCTGTGTCTTCGTCGACGGCTCCACTGAGCTGACAGGCGCCGACGACAGGGATTGGCTACTGCTGCTGCTCGTTTCGCTACAGAAGACGGCTGACTGGCTTTTACTAGAGCTGGGGGCGGGCTCTGGGGCACAGTCCTCGCCTGGCTGCTTCTTCTCAATGTCTGTGGTTATACAAGAGAGTGACTGGCGTGGGTGTGTGATTGTATGTGTGAGAGAGATGCTGGATTCCAAAAGAACTCCTACCCTCTAGACATTTGATTGTGAAGGGGGATAGGGAAGTGTGTGTGTGTGTGTGTGTGTGTGAGAGAGAGAGTATGTGTGTGCGTACTGTGTGTGTGTGTGTGTGTGTGTGTGTGTGTGTGTGTGTATATACACAGTGCATTCGTAAAGTATTCAGACCCCTTGACTTTTTCCACTTTGTTACGTTACAGCCTTATTCTAAAATTAATTACAATTGTTTTTTTTCCTCAACCTACACACAATACCCAATAATTTCAAAGCGAAAACAGGTCTTTAGAACAAAAAAGTAGAATAACTGAAATATCACATTTACATAAGTATTCAGACCCTTTTCTCAGTACTTTGTTGATGCAGAGATTACAGCCTCGAGTCATCTTGGGAATGACGCTACAAGCTTGGCACACCTGTATTTGGGAAGTTTCTCCCATTCTTCTCTGCAGATCCTCTCAAGCTCTGTCAGCTTGGATGGGGAGCGTCGCTGCACAGCTATTTTCAGGTCTCTCCAGAGATGTTCGATCGGTTTCAAGTCCAGGATCTGTCTGGGCCACTCAAGGACATTCAGAGACTTGTCCCGAAGCCACTCCTGCGTTGTCTTGGCTGTGTGCTTAAGGTCGTTGTCCTGTTGGAAGGTGAACCTTCGCCCCAGTCTGAGGTACTGAGTGCTCTGGAGCAGGTTTTCATCAAGGATCTCTATGTACTTTTCTCCGTTCATCTTTCCCTCGATCCTGTCTAGTCTCCCAGTTGCTGCCGCTGAAAGACATACCCACAGCATGATGCTGCCACCACAATGCTTCACCGTAGGGATGGTGCCAGGTTTCCTCAATGCTGCAGACATTTTTTGGTACCCTTCCCCAGATCTGTGCCTCGACACAATCCTGTCTTGGAGCTCTACGGACAATTCCTTCGACCTCATGGCTTGGTTTTTGCTCTGACATGCACTGACATTATAGCACATTATATAGACAGGTGTGTGCCTTTCCAAATCATGTCCAATCAATTGAATTTATCACAGGTGGACTCCAATCAAGTTGTAGAAACATCAAGGATGATCATTGTAAACAGGATGCACGAAATGCTCAATTTCGAGTCTCATAGCAAAGTGTCTGAATACTTACGTAAATAAGGTATTTCAGGTTTTTATTTTTTATAAATGTCTAAAGACCTGTTTTCGCTTTGACATTATGGGGTATTGTGTGTAGATTGATGAGGAAAATGCTTTATTTAATCAATTTTAGAATAAGGCTGTAACGTAACAAAATGTGGAAGAAGTCAAGGTGTCTGAATACTTTCCGAATGCACTGTATGCATCTGTGTATGTGTTCTGTATATCTGCTCGTGTGTGTGTGTGTGTGTGTCTGCTTGTTGTTGTTGTGTGTGTGTGTGTGTGTGTGTGTGAGAGAGAGAGTAGTCGAGAGGTCACGCTTAGCCACACACGGCAGGAGAGTATGGATCCACTATCCAGTAGTAGGTCCGTGGAGCATAACGGTGGAGGAGAGAGGGTTTCTCCTCCCTCTCCCTATCTCCACCTCCTCTTCACACAAGCCCCCTGTTTACATAGCGTCTGCCACTCTAAAGCCACTCCAGGCCGGCCACAGCAGCAGAGGGGGACTCCAGCTTGTGACAACACAGCAGTAGGGACGTGAACAAACAGATATTTGCTCAATCATGATGGCACTAGTACACACACACACACGTGGCGTACAGGCACACATACTCTCACACACACACACACTCACTCACTATACCCTCACATTCACCTATTCTCACACAACTACACACTTGCATACTCACCTATGCTAACACACACACACACACAGCCATTCTCACAGTCTCTCCCACCCACACACACATTCTCTCTCCAACACAAACTCTCTCTCACACACACACACACACACACAGATCTTTGGTATTGCTGCATGACTCAAAGCAATCTGCTTTAAACACACTCTTAACTCGAGGGGAAAGGGTGTGTGAGGGGAGTTGAGTGGACGCACCTACCCGTAAAACATTTGGAGCAGAGGTCCATGGTTTTGCTGGACCTAAAGAGAAGAAAGAAACAATGACAGGTTAGAAAAGAGGTCAGCACATCACATTTTTATTCACAGGACAGGTGTACTTCTGCAAGCCTGATCGCTGCATTCAACATTCCATTTTACTTCACATCAGTCTGGCATTCCTCCTTATGGAAACAGTTTGATACTACGTCTGTAACAAGGGGCATTCTTTAAAACTAACTTGTCTGGGATTGGATGACCTTCAACCAATAAGAGGATGGCCTAATTTAAAGCACAGTATTCGGCCACATTGGATTTTGTCCTAAACCCACCTGAGAGGATGCAGATTGGACCAATACGTGAACGCAGCGATCAGGCTGGTTATCCAGGCTGTGATTTTGCATCAATATTGCCTACAATGAAAATTTTCACAAGAGTGACAGCTTGTGGGCCAGTTTTAACATTCGGTATGAAAGCGCACTGTGGTTTCCTTTATCTGCAATTGAAAAATTTAGTCTTCAGTTCTAAGCAACTTATTTCTCCACATGTAACATGACCATCTAACCAATGGCAAAAAAAAAATGGCTAGATAAGACCAAATAAATCCAATGAAATTCATTCATCGTGTCACATTTAGTATACAAAAATGGACACCCTAAAATAACGGAATGTGACAAATAGCCTAAATAAAAGAAGGAAATTCCTTTGTGTCCAATCCATTGTCCTTCACAGTGGACCTGTATGTCCCTCACCTCTGCCAACTTCATAACTTTCATCTACGACATTTCACCACTCCTGCCAACCTCGACTGTGCCCACAATCATAGGCACGTGCACCCGTCTCACTTTTACTGCAAAAACTCTCAATAATTCAAACCAGACTCTGTCAAAACTGTGTACACACAGAGATAGCCATGCCAGGTTCAAGCTACCTAGGGAAAAGGTTAATAACTGAACGAGCGCCAAATGTTCATCATCATTCTCTTTATCGTTCATGGTCGCTATTGTGTTCGTCGGACGAACTGGCGAGAGTTGGAATAGGGGTTGGACAATAGGTATGATCAAAAACTATTTCTTTTTTAAGTATAGTGACGGATGAATTGCAGCGTGACTCCTATGAAGTTGTTCCTTTGATGCCAATAACTAGAGACAAAAGCAAACAAAAGGAAAACTAGGCAGTATCAGATGAATAGGGTTGTTTGATTTCGTCCTCAATGCCAACCAACGATCGAATCCCCAGAACAAAGACTTTATAAACTTGAACTAGTTCCTTTTGAAATCGCTTGGATTTTTGCCTATAGTCCTATATAGCATACCATTTATAGCCAGGTCCAGCGTTTTTTTTGACTCAGACCTTTTCAGAACCAGAAAAAAATAAAAACATATTGGGCGTATGCTGAACAATAATCTACATTTAGGCATAGGCCCAACAGAACAATCATCTAGAGGTGTCAGTCAGTCATGCCTGCTAAAGTGAACCAGAGTAGGAGTAGGCCTACTGCTTTGGTAATACACAGAAGTATCCTGACGAAGGATGGTTCAGCCACATCTGTTTTCTTCACAAGAGTGCCTTGTTAATTATTGTTATTTTATTTATCTTACTGAGATAGGAGACAGGAAAGGTAGCAGAGAATGCGAGTTAGAAGGGCAGTGGATAGGATTTGAACCACTAGGCCATGTTTGCTTAGGGTCTGCCGCACTAAATGCTGAATCAAAACAAAATTGTATTTGTCACATGGTTCGTAAACAACAGGTGTCGACTAACAGTGAAATGCTTACTTACGGGTCCAGAGTTAACCTTTTCACATGTGAGTTCCAAATATCTCTAACGGTCTCCCCTGCATGAATTGTTTTATGCACGTGATGTCAGAATGCACTCACTGTTCCAAAATGTGACAGTTACGCAACAGGACAGTTAACACACGCTGCCTGCTAATTATCTATAGGCTGTTTCAATTAGTCAATTTCAAATGATTTTCTAACAACAGTTTGAATTGAGGTGTGTTCCGCCTCCTCATTAATTCACATAGAATTAGTCAATTTCAGTGTTGCGGACAATTTATGTTTGAGGCATTACTGAGCAAAACAAACTTCTCTCTTCGAGGAGAGCCCAAGCACTTCACCAATGTTTCCGCAGATCAAGTATGCAGACATTTGCTCAGTCTTGCACGAATTGGCACATTTTCTGTCTGGCGTTCGCATTGCCTTCATTGTTGTTTTCCTTACAAATAATAACTTTGGACATGTGTGTGTTCCTATCAAAGTAAGTGCCTTATTTTCTGTATATAGTGTTGTCGGTTCTAATGTAGTATGTATGTATGGAGCCTAATTTATTTACAGTTTTATTCACGTTTTCAAGTACTGGTGACAAATAATGCATTCTGATTATTGCATAGCTTGTAATGGACACCTATGATGTGTATAAAATAATTTTTTGAAGGTTCTACTGATTATAATGAGCTAATGCTAAGCTATTTGCATGCTATGTGTGGCGCCATGTTTGTTGACATTATACAATGCATTCTGGGTGTCACATAAACGTCTGTCAGACCAAAATATGTTATACAACACCCCTTTCAACATGCATACTGCAAACAGACCAAACTCACCTTGTCTCGACCTTAATATCTTTGGTTGACACGAAAAAACAAACATGGCGACGCGCACAAACTACCCATCGTCGGATTACTTTCGATTTCCAGAAAGTGTTTTACTGAATTATTTCAATCAATGGGTAGCTCACCAGTGATGTGATGAATTATAAATAGTAATTGCTATTACCTAATTCATATTGTGGTTTCTGTCAGCCGAGAGTTATCTAAATATGATGGCTTGTGTTACGTCAATCTTACCTCAGTTAGCGCTAGGTCTAATGTACCTACATTTTCCAGTTTGGATGATTTTGTATGCTGTCTTTACTTCTGTGAATGTCTGAACATTGCATCCAGAAATAAACTGGTCACATTCAGGACATACCTTTGTAAGGACTGTGTTTGTGCAAAATGTTTCTGTGAAAAAACAGTGTGGCTAGCTCAAATGCTGACTGTTGCGTCAATTGAAACTGGACGTTCTAAATAAGCGTTCTAATCACACCGGTTTGAGCGTATGCTGCAGGGACCACTGTAGAACGATCACACCCGTTTGTTGGTATGTGTGAAAAGGTTAAAGATCAAATACAAATAAATAGTGACATAATAACAAATAACAACGAGTAAAAATAACAAACCAAATCTTGAAATTGTATTGGTCACATACACATATTTAGCAGATGTTATTGCGGGTGTAGCGAAATGCTTGGATATATACAGGGAGTACCAGTACCGAGTCACTGTGCAGGGGTACAAAGTAATTGAGGTAGCTATGTACTGTGCATATAGGTAGGGGTAAAGTCACTAGGCAAGAGGATTGATAAGACAGTAGGCAGCAGCGGATGTGGTGAGGGTGGTGGTGTCAGTATGCATGTGTGCGCGTGTTAGGTGTGTGGGCATATGCAGTGTGTGTTGGGGTGTAAGTATGTGAGTGTGTGGGTAGAGTCCAGTGTGTGCATAAAGTCAGTGCAAGAGAGTTAGTTAAAAAAAAAGGGTCAATGCAGGTAGTCCGGGTAGCCATTTAGCAGTCTTGTCTTACGGCTTGGGGGTAGATGCTGTTCAGGATCCTGTTGGTTTCAGACTTGTTGCACTGGTACTGCTCGCAATGCAGTACCGCTTGCCATGCAGTCTATGGTTTGGGTGGCTGGAGTCTGACAGTTTTTTGGGCCTTCCTCTGACACCACCTGGTATAGATAGAGGTCCTGGATGGCAGGGAGCTCAGCCCCAGTGATGTACTGGGCCGCACTCACCACCCTCTGAAGCGCCTTGCAGTCGGGTGCCTTGCAGTTGCCGTACCAAGCGGTGATGCAGCCAGTCAAGATGCTCTCAATAAGCATAGTTACATGCACACAATAATACGATTACATTTACATGCTTTACAATGAGAACGATTTCCCTAATAATCCTGTTTACATGGACACATCTGAAATCAGGCTACTGATGACAATGATAAATGCAGAAAATCGCCAATCAAAATAAACGTTCTACAACAGTGTCCTTGTTATTTTTGGGAAGCATACTTGATTATGAGTTCGGACATATAACGTTTGTATGTGCAAACGACTACTAAGACGCATACATTCAGTTAATCCGAAATAACTTCACTCGTGCTAAAGAGGGAGGCTCTCGGCTGGTGCTAGCACATGCGTAGATCAAATACACCGCTGGAATGCCGATTAAAATGTCTACATATCTTAATAACATGAACGATTGCTCAGAAAACCAGGTGTTTTAATCGGCATATGCTTACTTCGAATTTGACCTTAAGCCGATTAAGATAAGCAGAATAAGGTTTACATCACTATTGCATAATCTGCTTACTACCACAATGAGTATAAAATCAAATTATTACTGAGCATATAAACATACTCAATGGTGCAGCTGTAGAACTGAGGATCTGAGGACCCATGCCAAATCTTTTCAGCCTCCTAAGGAGGAAGAGGTGCTGTCGTGCCCTCTTCACAACTGTCTGGGTGTGTGTGGACCATGTTAAATTCTTAGTGATGTGGACACTGAGGAAGCACCATCAATATGGTTTCCTGTAGTCCACGATCTGCTCCTTTGTCTTGCTGACATAGAGGGAGAGGTTGTCCTGGCACCACACTGCCAGGTCTCTGACCTCCTCCCTATAGACTACCTCACTGTCTTCGGTGATCAGTCCTACCATCGTCGTGTCGTCAGCCACGCAGTCATGCCACGTAGTCGTGGGTGAACAGGGAGTACAGGTGGGGACTAAGCACACACCCCTGAGGGGCCCCGTGCTGATGGTCAGCATTGCAGATATGTTGTTGCCTACCTTCACCGCCTGGGGGCGGCCCGTCAGGAAGTCCAGAATCCAGTTGCAAAGGAAGGGCTTCAGTGCCAGAGTCCAGAGCTTGGTGATGAGCTTGGAGGGGACAATGGTGTTGAATGCTGAGCTGTAGTCAATGAACAGCATTCTTACAT